TTGACTCTTTTTTCTTGTATTATTAAAAGTGTGAAAACATAAATTAACAATCATATGATAAGAAATATAAATTTTACAATACATTAAAAATATAATGATTATTCTCCCTCGTATTATTTCAAAAATTATGTGAATGCAAAAAAAAATTAGTGATTCTATGATTTTAATGAAATTTTACAAAAACTATTTCACAATTTTTATTCATTTTTTTCCTTTCTTTTTTAAATATTCAATCATTTAAGTGTGTGAAAGTATTTTGGTCAATACATAATGTTTTATAAAATACAAAGAGTTACAATTTAAAAATTATATTTCTCTTTGATGTTGTAGTTTAACCTAAATCTTATTCACTTCTGCACATAAGATATTCTTCGTACTTTTCCTTAAAATACTGATTATTCTTGCATCTAAATTTTAAATTTTAATTGTCACGAATCTTAATTTTCCTTATAGAAATATTTTTGTGAAAGTCCATGTTATATCGCTTCATCTCTAAGAATATCATTTTTTTTAAATTTCTTTGTATGATTGCGAAAATGAAGAAAAGAGAATTGAGCCATACTTCATCCATCTTTTTTATTTTCATGCATCAATATAGTGAATTATCACCTAATATAAATTTATAAATCTTAAGTTACATCTTAAATATGGTAAGTTACAGTGCAAACCTTCTTTGATTAAAATAATAGGTCAAATTAGAAAGATAAAGTACAAAAGTCAAATTAAATAATCCTACTAAGTAATACTCCGTATGGTTTAAAAACTTAATATATATAATTTTAATATAGGGATCAAGAAGTATTTGTTATTTTACATCACTATTTAAATAAATGGAATAAAGCTAACTTCTCTTAATCATAACATAAAGTAATATGAAATTTTTTTAAAGATAAAGAGAGTAGTTTATATATTTAACGAAACTATTATTATAAATGAAATGAAAAAAAATTAAAAGAAATAAATATATCTCTTTCTTAATTAAATGTACTCAATGATAATAAAATCATAAATAATGTTAGTATAATATAATAAGTCCCAACGATATATTTTGTTTTAATCATTTGTCTTTTATAATATAATAAAAATAGGTTTAAATATGTTTTATACCCTATAAAATAAGAAATTTTTTCGTCTCAGTAAAATATTTTTTGATAAAGTCATCCCTACAAAATATTTTAATTTGAAAATAGTCCTTAACCTAATTAGAACTTCTAATTAGATGAGATAGTACATTTATTTCATACTCAACATATTAGTCATGTATTTCTAATTACATCCGATGCAATTTCTAAACCCTAAATTGTGTACTTATTTATATTACATATATTTGGTTCTCAAATTTCTTACGAATATAATATAATCAAAAGTTGAGAATTGGAAATGCAATTTGATAAAAGACACAATTGTTGAGATCAAAATTGTGTCTGAAGTAATTGCAAATCTAAAACCAAGCTATTGAGTACAAAATAAATATGTTATCTCAACAACTTAAAAATCTAATATATTTTACGTGCTTTAACAATTTATTTTCTAATCTTCTCATTTTTATAAAGTTTCATTGTAGTTTTAAAATAAGTTTTTTTAATCTTCTCATATTTTAATAAATATAATCAAACTGACTGCTTCGATTTAAATATATCATAAAAATATGAAATTTATTTAGAAGTGAAGAAATATCTTATTAATTGCTTAGGGCCAATTTGGTGAATTTTGGAGATATTATAAGATGTGGGTTATGAAAACTCAGAGAAATGATATGGACTTTGTAATCTGAAATGATTTTATTTGGAGAGATTTAAATTCAGGATTTAATTAGTGGTAAGAAAAGGTGACTGACAACGTGAGTGGTTGGCAGTGATAATGGTAGCGAGTGACAAAGAATGATCGATACTTGAGAGAGATATCAAACCCCCATATTAATATCTTCCAAATTCGAGAGATACTGAGACCATCAATTTTAAAGATTTATGATATCTGCAGATATTAAATTTGATAACTCTTTTAGCTTCACCAAACACCAGAAAAGGATAATGATATCTGGAGATTTCAAAATTCAAAACTCATATTTTTTCTGCTCACCAAACACACTTTTAGAAGTTTTGTAATAATTGAATAGAAAATTATACATAATTAGAAAATAATTATTATAAAAATGAATATATATATTCTCTTCCATAATTAATTGTACCGAAGGACTTCATACAATAGTATTAACTTCTTACTTTCTATAATATATTTTACGTGTCAGAAATGTCTCTTAAACATTATCACATCTCTGCTTCTTAAAGATTAAAATATCAATTTTATAAATAAAGGATCAATTGTAAACATATTTGATCTTTTTCTATAAGAATACTCTTAAATGAGAATATATCATTATCAAAATTTTGTTTTTTGTGTATGCACTTAGTTAAATATTTGATTCATAAAAAATGCTAGTCTTGAAATGGTAAGTGATAATACCAATTTTATATTTTCACTAATTGTTTTGCTACATCATAATAATTTTTATCATAAAATTATATTTTATATAATTGTTTTCCTTTAAAAATTTTATTTCGGACAATACTACAGTTATCTTTCACAAATTTGATTTTATAACATAATTATATTTATCACATCATAATAAATAAATAGATGAATTGCTTTTTAAAAATAAAAATACTCAACTAATGTCACGAAGTAGTGAATTCTTTATTTCTACTAAATCTTTTAACGTAAAATTTTTCCAAAATTTAAAATCATTATTAAATTTCTATTTTAAAATAAAAAGAAAGGTCAATTCATCATTAATAAAATTTGCCACATAAGCAACCAATAAAGACTTGCCATCTCACCTTAATATAGCCCACATAAGCTTGTCTTTTGGCGAATTTTTAGCAAACGGAGTCTCAAATATTATATTAAAGGATTATATTTTTATAACTAAAAAGAAATTTTTATACCATCCTTTTTTAATTATGAAACATTATAAAAGCTTAAGTGAGATTATAATAAAAAGCACCCTAGCTTGGATGGTTAGGAACTCAACTAAATGACCAAGAGATCCTTGTTTCAAACCCCATGGTGGTATTCTTTTGGAAAAAAATTGCAAAAAAGAACTGGTCTAACCGGTCAAACCGACCGGTTTGTCTAAAAGGATGACATATTAGCTCGCCACATGTCGCGCTTAAACTTTGCCAAATGTCACCACATCAGCTCGCCACATGTCGTGCTTTAACTCTGCCAAATGTCACGTTCTTATAGCTTCGACTCTGCTTTATATATATAAAGGATTTGTTATGTTGAAATGTTTGTTTATTAATAATAGCAATATTTTTTTCCTAAATCATGTGTTAATTGTGAAGTGTGCTATCTTTTGTTGAACTGGATTTATTGATAAAAAATAATACGACAGATTAATACTCCCTCCGTCCTAAAACTTTCTTCCCGTTGCGCAAAACAAAGAAAAATTCCAAATTTTTTAAATCTATTTTATTTAAATATTGGTATAGAAATAAAACATACATATTTAAAAACTACATCAAAAGTTCAACAAAACAAGTGGTGACAAGAATATTTTATTTTATCATATATGCAATTAAAAAGCACAAATAAATATAAATTCCCGTGAAGTTGGAATAATGCTCTGGGAAGAAAGTTTTAGGACGGAGGGAGTAATAAAAATAATATGCTGAAATAATAATTTAAATAAATAGAGTAATTAATATGATCAGGAATATTTCGAACACTCTTTTAAAAGAATTGACATCTCTGATAAGAAGTTTCATTTCTAAATTATTTGCTTCTATAACAAATTTGAATTGGGCCTGAGTAGTTAAAATTAAAAAAATTACCCAAAATAGTAGATTAAAAAACCGGCCCATATAGGCCCAAAATTTTAGGTTGGATTAAAATCCTGCTGCTTTTGTATATAGGTAGATTTATTGATAAAAAATAATACGCCATATTAATAATTAAAATAATATGCTGAAATAATAATTTAAATAAATAGAGTAATTAATATGATCAGGAATATTTCGAACACTCTCTTAAAAGAATTGACTCTCTGATAAGAAGTTTCATTTCTAAATTATTTGCTTCTATAACAAATTTGAATTGGGTTTGAGCAGTTAAAATTAAAAAAATGACCCAAAATAGTAGATTAAAAACCGGCCCATATAGGCCCAAAATTTTAGGCCGGATTAAAATCCTGCTGCAGATTTAACCGTTTAAAATATTTTTTTAGGCTAAAGTTTCCACTTTTTAGAACTGCCCGTTTGAAATTTATTCAGCTGCAAACGGAACATTCTCCCTTCACTCCATAGCGGAAAACTAACATCTTCTCCAAATTTAGAGCGTTCGAGAAAAGCTCATATTTTCTTCAAATTTTCGAAGCCAGCTATGGATGGACCTGACAATGAGAGTTTAAATGGTTGAGAGGAGAACTAAAAGCGGAAATCGGGGTTAGTTCCCTTTTCCAACTAGTTCAATTCCCAAATAGCTGAGTTTTTCTTTGGATTTATGGTCAAAATTAGGGTTTATGGTTTAAAACTATTCAAGAATTTCGTTTTTCTTTGGTTCATTTTAGCCATTTATGGCTGATTTGGGGGATTATGGGTTTTAGGGTTAGGTTTCATGCTTCCAAATTAGAAGTTCATTAGGGTCTGGTTATGCTTTTATTGATTAGGATCTTGTTGTGCTTCTATGGATTAGGGTGTGATCATGCTTTTTTGGTTTTAGGGTCTGATTGTGCTTCATTAATGCTTTTATATATGCTACATAAAGGTAGCAAGTGTTAGGCTAATAGGCTACATGTTGATCTAAAAAAATTCTTTTTGAGCGGACATCCAAAAGCTAAATTGTCTTTATTTCAATGAATTAATGTGCTTCAGAAACAACATTCAGATTCTTAGAAACTTTTAAGATTGGAGTTGAAAATCATGCTGCACTATGATTATCTCGATACCAACAGTGGCATTTCAATTGTTCAGAAATGACCATCAGATTGCTAGAAACTTGTGAGTTTGAAGTTTAGAATCGTGCTGCCAATACTGATAATGGCATCTCAAGTATTCAGATGCAAATTTGTTGAGACCACTATTTACACTTTGTTTGGTTCAAGGAATTTGAAAGGGGTAGAAAAGAAAATGAGAGGAAAGATAATTTTTATTGTTTGGTTAGAGAGGAAAAGAAAAAACAGTGGAAGGAAAAGAAAATGAGAAGACAAAATGTACTAATAGGGGGAAACCAAATTCCTTCCGTTTTGGTAAGGAAAATGAGAAAAAATCGCTTTCTTTTCGTTTCAAATTCCTTACTGAACATAGTCTTAGGGAAACTTCTTACTATTGAGGGGTTTGAGGCTCTCTACACACACAACTTATTTTAATTTTACAACCCTTAATCAAAGAGTTCATTTTATATCCCCCCCAACCCAAAAAAAAACCAAACAGACCCTTAATCAAAGAGCTCATTTTATCTGCAAGTCATATCTTTGTGGTTGGAAGTTTGCCCATGTGAGATACTGCATTTCAGAAAACTCTTACAAAACTCAGAGTATCTTCATTGCATCAGGAATGTTTATGTGGGGCTTTGGGATCTCTCTCTCTCTCTCTATGTGTGTGTGTGTGCGCGCGCAGGCATGTATGTTGTGTGCACACGCATGCGAGAATTCAAAATAAGTAAATGCGTGACTCTTGAAATGGAGTGTGGATCCATAATGGCCATAAAGTTGTATCATTATTGTTCTTGATAAGACCATAGGTATGGATTAGTGTGTCATTTTATTGTAGCTCCTGCACACAAACTAGCCTAAACTGAAAGCCACCAAAATTACAATTTTCAGTGTATTTTAAAATGTAATCCATGTAATCTAATAATCTGTATTTTGCAAACCAAGTAACTCTTAATATCAATTTTTAACATCAACAACTCTTATTTACCACTTTAAAGTTTAAACTTTAAAGCACAGTAGTTATTGGATTTTAGCCTCAAGAATCCACTAGTGAAATATGTTCAAATTATCAACAAAATAGTCTCTTTCTATGGATGTTACCTAGCATTTTATATTCCACAAATAAGATTTATTTAATTATCTATTAGTAATTATTACGTTTGTCATTCTCTAACTGTGTAGGGTCTGCGTGTTGTGGGTCCAGCCCATTTTTGTTTGGGTTCCATTTTTCTTTGTGGGGCTCAAATAAGAGGAAAGTTTTTTCTTTACTTGACTAATAAAAAGGAGAAAAAAGGGCTGGGCAGTGGTGGACTTACGGACAGAGCAGAAAGAAAAATAAAAACAGAATAGAGAGAGGGAGAAGGGCTGGTCCAGAATTTTCAGACCAGCCACACAAATCCGATCATCGCCGGAGATCCGACCGTTGGATTGAGCTGAAACTTTCAGATATTGTTCCCAACACTTAGGGCTTCAATCTGTTCAATTTTCACATCAATCGGAGCTACGGATCTTCTGTAATCGCAGCTGGTGCATCACTGCGTTTTTGGGTGATATCTCTGATTTTTCTTGTATGTTGTTGTTGGTGGGCTGTGACATCCTTGTAGACTGAGTTTGGGTGTTTTTACCCTCAATTTGCATAATAAGAGAAGAAGAGGGTGAGATGTATGCTTAAGATGTCCAATCTTCCTAAGTCATTTTGGGGAGAAGTAGTTGGAACCGTTGTGTACTTGATAAACAAAGCGCCATCAGTTCCTTTGGAGTTTGATATTCCTGAGAGAGTTTGGTTTGGGAAAGATCCTTCTTATTCCCATTTGAAGGTGTTTGGATGCAAGGCCTTCATGCATGTACCGAAGGAACAGAGATTGAAGCTTGACTTCATGACTTCTCCTTGTGTGTTTGTTGGATATGGTGGTGAAGAGTTTGGTTACAGGCTTTATGATCCAGCAAAGAAAAGAGTTGTGAGGAGTAGAGATGTTGTATTTTACGAGCACGAGATGGGTTTTCATCTCTTAGGTGCTGGTAATACTTATTATCCTGATTTATCTCATGGTGCTATTGATATGTCTCATGTTTCTGTTCCAGATGTTCAACAAACAGGTGATGCTCCCAATGATGGTCATGAAAATACTCACGAACATGACCGTATTGAAGAGGTACAACCAGAGATTGTGGCACAACCTGATGATGAAGATATTGAAGTTGAAAGTGGAGAGTCTTCTAATCAGGGGGAGCAAAACAGCCCACAGGTGGAAGAGCCAACATTGAGAAGGTCAACCGGAGTTCGACAACCTTCAAGACTTTATCCAAGTTCAGAATATATCCTAATCACTGATGAGGGGGAGCCTGAAAGCCTTAAAGAGGTCTTGTCACATCCAGACAAAGACCATTAGCTGAAGGCTATGCAAGAGGAGATGAATTCTTTGAAGAAGAATCAAACATATGACTTGGTGAAGCGTCCAAAAGGGAAGAAAGTCTTGAAGAGCAGGTGGTTGTTCAAGAACAAGAAAGATGACCAGAAGCTAGTGAGACGGAAGGCAAGACTGGTGGTGAAGGGATGCCATCAAAAGAAAGGCATCGACTACGATGAAATTTTTGCACCAGTGGTGAAAATGACTTCCATTCGTATGATTTTGGGACTAGCGGCTTGTTTGGATCTTGAGCTTGAGCAGCTTGATGTAAAAACTGCATTTTTACATGGTGATTTGGATGATGAGATTTACATGGAGCAGCCGGAAGGATTTGAAGTCAAAGGAAAAGAGAATTTTGTTTCCAAGTTGAAAAAGAGTCTTTATGGGCTTAAGCAAGCACCAAGGCAATGGTACCGTAAGTTTGATTCCTTCATGAGTGGTAATGGGTACAAGCGTACTACTACAGACCCTTGTGTGTATTTTAGAAAGTTCTCTGATGATAACTTCATTATCCTTTGTTTTTATGTTGATGATATGTTGATAATGGGACAAGATGTTGAGATGATTCGCAGGTTAAAAGAGGATATGTCAAGTCCTTTGAAATGAAAGATTTGGGTAATGCGAAGCAAATTTTTGGCATGGAAATTGTTCGTGATAGAAAAGCTGGTAAGCTTTGGCTCTCGCAAGAGAAGTATATTGAACGGGGGCTTGAAAGGTTCAACATGAAGAATGCCAAGCCAGTTAATACACCACTTGCCGGTCATATCAAGTTGAGCAAGCGTTTTTGTCCTAGTTCTGAGAAAGAAAAGGAAAACATGTCTCATATTCCTTATTCTTTTGCTGTTGGTTCATTGATGTACGCTATGGTGTGTACAAGGCCAGATATAGCACATGCTGTTGGATTGGTTAGCAGATTCTTGGCTAATCCAAGCAAGGTTCACTGGGAAGCTGTAAAGTGGATCTTGAGATATTTGCGGGGCACCTCAAAACTGAGTTTGTGTTTTGGAGGCGGTGAGCCTATTCTTGAGGGATTTACAGATGCTAACATGGCTGGAGATCTTGATAATAGAAAGTCTACCTCAGGTTATTTGTTTACATTTGCAGGGGGAGCCATTTCATGGCAATCCAAGCTACAGAAGTGTGTAGCTTTGTCAACAACTGAGGCAGAGTATATAGCAGCAGTGGAAGCAAGCAAAGAGATGATTTGGTTGAAGCGTTTCCTTCAAGAGTTGGGATTGAAGCAAGGTGAGTATGTTGTGTTTTGCGATAGTCAAAGTGCTATAGACTTGAGCAAAAACACCATGTATCATGCTCGCACAAAGCATATTGATGTGAGGTATCATTGGTTGCGTGATATCATTGCAGGTATGTCTTCTTGACGTGGTTTGCGCATGATCTTCCCCAAATTGGGATGGAGGGGGAGATAGATTGTTGTGGGTCCAGCCCATTTTTGTTTGGGTTCCATTTTTCTTTGTGGGGCTCCAATAAGAGGAAAGTTTTTTTCTTTACTTTGTTGACTAATAAAAAGGAGAAAAAAGGGCTGGGCAGTGGTGGACTTACGGACAGAGCAGAAAGAAAAATAAAAACAGTATAGAGAGAGGGAGAAGGGCTGGTGCAGAATTTTCAGACCAGCGGCACAAATCCAATCATCGCCGAGATCCAACCGTTGGATTGAGCTGAAATTTTCAGAGATAGTTCCCAACACTTAGGGCTTCAATCTGTTCAATTTTCACATCAATCGGAGCTACGGATCTTCTGTAATCACAGCTGGTGCATCGCTGCGTTTTTGGGTGATATCTCTGATTTTTCTTCTCTATTGTTGATGGCTCTTATGTATGTTGTTGTTGGTGGGCTGTGACATCCTTGTAGACTGAGTTTGGGTGTTTTTACCCTCAATTTGCATAATAAGAGAAGAAGAGGACGGACTCCCTATAAGTCCCGTGGTTTTTATCCTTCACATCGAAGGGGTTTTCCACGTATAAAAATCGTGTGTCGTTTGTATCTTTATTCTTCATATTTGGTTGTGGTTTATTTGATGCGTTGTTGATTTTGTGTGCTTGGTGAATCATTTGTGGTAATTTGGGTCAAGAGTGTTTGGTTGGTTGTCTTGAAGTTGATCCTTGTAGGTGTCGTATCCTACTTGTTGCTTCCCCCCCCCAACACTGCGTGCACACATGTTACTGAAATCCCACTTTTTGGGATATTACTGGAAAATTAGTTAATAATCTATTCACTTACTAAATTGTCCTTATATAATATTCTCAAACTAGCACCACACTAATAACCTGAGCTTTCTTCGATCTTCCTAAATCCACCAACCGCCACCCTCCTCTTTGATAATCTCAGCCTTCGATCTTCCTTATTCTCAAACCAACCACAATCACGTCTCCCCTTCCCAGCTGCCGCGTGTGCCACCTCCATCTACATCTTAGTGTTTTTTTTTCTAACCAAGCCAACTTCTGTGTCTTAGGCATGCTGTTGCCATCATCAAACCTCCCCTTCCTTGCCACCGCTTGACACACGCCACTCCAAGCATGTGCCCCCACGCTTTCAATCCCTTTTCTAGATTGGTTTACAGCTGAAGTAGGCTGTGAATTAGGGTTAGATAAAAACTACGAATCTGTAATCATGGAAGAAGAGCATCTTGATATATTCTTATTAATAATACTTTAATACGCTCTCTGTTTCATATCTTCTCGTTTTGACTTGGCAGGTGTTTTAATGTAAGATCAAAGAATGTTTGACTTTCAATTTTTGTCATTCTGTAGTAAATTGTAGAGAAATTTAAGAAAGGTGAATAGTAAAAACATAAGGGAAAGTGGTCATTAGTAGTAAAAAGGCAAATAGTCTTTCTATAATAGAAATGAAAGGAGATATGAAGGACAGTCCAAAAAGGAAAATGGGAATGTAGGACTGAGGGAGTAATTAAATAAATAATTAATTAATAGTTAGGAAATTTAAAATTTAAAGTTCATATGGTAAAACTAGCTATGTTTTAGTACTATATAGATATATTTCCCAATTAATTAAGTACTTGTATTGTTTTAATTGGATTGACATGTGTATCAAGGCCCACCATCTTTTCTATTGGCCCGGAACGATAACCTGATTCAAGGAATGCTTCTATAGTTTTAAATTGGATGAGCTGAATGCTGGCTATTTTCATATTACTAGTATTTGATTTGTAACAAAAGCCACTGGCAGATTTGAATTTGTTTTTCACTTTCTGTGTCTGTAGTTCACATTTTTCTGTTCATCCGGTGTCTTACAGAGCAGATGCCAAGGAAAAGAGGTAGACCAAAGGTTAATGCTGCTCTTCAATCCAAACAGGAGGAGCCCCGAGATGTAAATCAGGAGGAGGATGGATCATCAGAGCTAATTGGTATTTATGTTTTTTGTATTTTTTATTTTATGATTTTTTTATTTACCCACCGATCATCTTTAGCTTATACTGGTGTCTTGAGGTCATTTGATTGGGTGAATACCAGTTTACCAGAAACAACTTGGATAAATCTGAAATTTTGTTGTTTTTGACTGGAATTAATAGTCTGCAATGAAATTGTGGTTCCTTACGCTTCTTTTGTACCTTATATTTTTTCAGATCTTGCTGAACGTCAAGGTGAGGCAATTAGGGCTTTTCAGGCAGTACAAATTGAACAACTACGCACTATGTTACGGTTGTTACGCTCTAGCTTCAGCAAGGAAGAGCCCTCAGTTCCAGTTTTGCATTTTTTCAGCAAAAACCTCCCAAACCTGGTCCTTGTGAGAAATAAGAATGATAATGCCTGTGAAGTGCAATGGAAAAAAGATGACGGTAGCTCTACAATGGAACAACTAGATCAAATGCATGTACCCACTTCTCTTCTACAGCGATTATCCCGGATGTATTCCCACCGTTCTTCTGTGATTCCACCTTTTGACAGATTTGGATTTTCAAATAATTCTGGTATGAGTAAGTAGCTGATAATTCCACTATAAAAAAAAGTCTAAACTTGTTACAAATCACCTGACATTTTTCTATGGCAGTGAAAACATGCGTCTTTGGTGCTGAAAATCTCCAAATCAAGGGTTTGGTATGTTCCTTTATCTCATGCATATGTTTTCCTTGCATTTTTCTTCTTGGACGATCAATAAATTCTTAGATTTTCTTTTTCTATCCTGGACACTCATTTCTAGGTTTTAGAAGAACCATCTGAAAATCAACTGGTTGATCAGCAGGATCCTTTCCAAACTCCTGCCGTAAGTAGCTAATTTATCTTTATGAGTTGCTTGTTGCGTTTTTCTTTTTGTAATACTCTATTAGCCGTAAAATTTCCCAGAGTGAATCAAGAACGGAGTACGATTGATAATTACAGCAAAATCTTGAAAATCTAATGTAATCAACTCTGTTTCAAGGAAAATAGCCCGTGGGAAATGTTTTCAATGTATAATTTATTGTTTGCCCCATGGAAAATGACTTGTATTCAAGACGGCAAGTCTCTTCCAACAAAAGAAACGTGGTGTCTATTGCTGTTGTCATGGCAAATTTGCATACATGGAAAATAAGTTTCTAAATACGATGGACAATTGCTATTATCCTTGGGGTGGAAACAATTTACCTTAGCCACAACCTGACCGTCATCTTTACCCATGAATTTAGTTTCAGGAAAATGGCAACCGTTTATCAGTTGGGGTGACACCAAAAACATTAAGGTTTCCCAAACACGGGGAGATGCTTCTGTCAGTACATGGCTCACCCCTTGGGGTATACAAGGAAGACATGGAATCAATACACGGTACTCGTCTATGTGGTTTGAGTTCATAAGAATCGTGTTACAAGATACATGCATGCAATTTTTTTACCATGTCCATATTTTGCAATGGGAAATGACTAGAAGTCGGTTTGGTCTGCTCTTTCAAAAGTCAATGATTCTTGTTCAGAAATTGAATAGGGTTCTGACACCAATCATAGGTGTCATAATTTGAGGGTCCTACAATGCTCCGTGCGACTCCGAAGTAATTCCTACCCCCCACCCTCCCGGTTCCATTATACTACAGTAGTTATTGTAGCATTACGGTGAACCCATGGGCTGAGGGGGGTAGGAACCATATCAGGGTCTAACGGTGCATTGTAGGACTCTCAAGTATCCCGCTGCACATTGGCAATCTGTGTCAAAAGAGCACTGGTAATGGTCATGAAGCCCCGGGGCTTCAAACTTTCTCTCTCTGCCACGTTAGCTTTAACTTATACCCAAAATTCACTGGAAATGGGTTTGAAGCCCCGAGGCTTCAAACTGGGGCTTCAAGCCTTCATTTTTTACATTTTTAAATATACATCTTCTAAAATTAAATTAATAACATTTTATCAATTAATTGAATTTAAATGAAAATAAATTATTAAATAAAAAAGTCAATAAAAGGTAAATTAACCAAATAAGATTTGAGTAATGAAAACAAAAATATAAAAAATTATATTACTTTATGAAGAAATTACTGATTATTCGAGCGACTAAAAATATATTCATTCAAATCGGGGTTGTAGTAACATATTGCAAACTGAAATAATACATTAATTAAAAATACAGTCAATAAAAAAGTATGTTAAATTTTAAAAAAAACAAAAAAAAATTACATTACGAAAGAAAATTTAAACAAAAAATATTACATTAAACAATAAAATATAGAGTAAAAAAATTATGTTTGTGTTTGTTCTATTTTTTTAAAGAGAAAGAATATAAAGATTAAAAAAAATATTTAGTCTTATGGCATTTATGTAATTTTTTGTTGTTTTTTAATGAATGAAGCCCGTGAAACGTTTGAAGCATAAAGGATGAAGCCCCTTTGAAGCCCGAGGGGGGCGGTGTTTGCTGCCCCTTTGGCGTTAAAATGGGCAATAACGCCCTGGGCGTTATGCCCATTACCAGTGCTCTTAGAGTTTAGGTGATTCAAAGAGGCACGTTTTATTGCCTTTTTTTTAGCATTTATATAAACGGCCAAAATGCCAAATCTATTCTTGCTCAAAGTATTGCTTTGTGTTGCAGAATCACAAGAGCACTGAGCAAGCAGAGAGATTTTGGATCCGCTTTCTTGCATTAGTTGAAGAGGAATTGCTATTCTGTGTATGTACCTGACAAATCAGTGGAATTGTTCACTTTTTTTTAACTTTTGTTCGTTAGTCACATCTTGTTTCGTAGAACTTTTGTTGCAGTTTTTAAATATGTAATTTTTATTTTTTTTTGTTCCACCCCAATTATCAAATGAATTAAAACTAACATTGGTCAAACATCGCAAACTAAAATAGACGATTTAAACTAGGACGGAGGGAGTATTATCTAGTGATTCTTTTGGCCCTGGGTTTGCATAAAACGGTCTGTATTGACATCTTTGGGAGCAAAGGTAAATAAATTGCCAATAAAATTTCAAGGAGCATGCTACATGTACCCAAAATTTTTACCCCATTTGTACACTAAAGATATGCATAAACATTTTGATCGTCCACACTGACACAAAGTGTTGGTGCGTTAATAAAAATTTACAATGATACAAAGTGTTGGTGCGTTAACAAAAATTAGCATTACACCAACATAAAATGTTAGTGCATCATTGTGTTGTACAAAATGAGTTACAAATTATTGGGTACGCATTATTCAAATTTCAAAGTACTCGACGGTGAAATTTATTACTCCGTATTTATATGGGTGATTTCCCAATCAGAGCAGATTTGGGAAATGCATTCCCAAATGGTGAAGGGGGGTCTAACATTGCGCAAGTATTAACAGGACTGCTAGTACCGTAATATTTTTTTTTAGATTAACAGTAGAGCCAGTACCGTTAATCTATAAGTTATTTATAAATACGAAATTAAGTACATCCCTTTGTTAGATATTGGCATTAAATTTGAACAATAATAAATTTTTTATTCATTTGATGCACTACTACTGAAATTAAAAGCATACAAATAAAAGTTGTCGTACATATATAAAAATCCCACATTGAAATTTATAATTTAACTAAGTTCCCCGACAATGTCTTTGTGATCACATGTCCATATTATTTGTGAAACGAGTGCTCACTGGACGACCGGCATGCGACCTTTGCCTTGTAAATGGACGGACTAATTCTTAAACAAGGGTAGGCCATTCAATTTCGTTTTGTAGTGGCATAACACTTCCAGAATATGCATCAAGGTAATTCTGAAGTGAAAACACTCGTGGGATGAGATCATCAACCGTAATGTTGCAATAACGACATATAGCGTAGACATGCACACATGGCATGTGCAATGTGGCGCATTTCCCGCAACTGCACAATTTTTGGCCCAGATGCACGACTATCTCATCTAGTCTACCGGTAGCTCCAGCGTTGTCCTCAACAACGGCCCGATAAATCCCTTGTTGCGGATGATGTGGGATAACATGGTAATGTAAACGATGGTCTTCCATGCGTCTCACCTCGTTCCAAATATATTTTGGGAACTTAAATCCCGCTTGTAGCCATGTAAATCTGTTTGTACGCCTTTTTGCAAATAATTTTACTAATCGCTCGTACATTGTCTTCACAATGGCGTGCCGACCACATATTCGTCGACCTCATCCTCTATCTCCTAGTTCTGACGTTGCCTTCTGGGGGCGACCACGTACCGGTGCATCCCAACGTCTGTCAGAACGCCTATGAATCATCACAGGCTCGTACGCTGGAACTTGAATTGGATGAGAGAGCATCTCTCCGTATCCAGCGTCACGGATGGACTGCACTACCTGATCATGCACGCCACACACAAGTGTGTAGAGGGGGTGACCTTCATCAGGTTGATCTACATCTGTTCTTCATGATATGTCCAGCAAACTAAAAATCTGTATGTATAAAGAAATTAGTTTAAATAAAAAATATTATAATTAATATACTATAAAAATGTTACTAATAAAGGCTAGTGCATACCAGACAATGAACGTCCGGATTGAGAGGGACGTAGCCAGGGACTAATATGTGGTCATGAGCCGGGTTGCCTATATGGCTATAATGCGTCTACCATGACGATAATACCAATGTCGATATGCATCAGTGTATCCGTGATGATCAAAGTCAAAATCCACAATACTCTGATGTCGGCCTTTCCACTATGCTACAAAATGTGACGTCCTAGGAACCATGGTCCATATGGTTGTCCTGACGGCGTGGAACTCACGATCATAATCCACTGCCTGAGGGATATCCTGAAGTCCACCAAACTGGCGACAGAACCGATCTGGGTAATACATCTCCACCATATAGGTGTATATCAACGGAACACGTGCACACCATATTGCGAACCCTGTGGTGCAGTGAGGATGCAAATGCTGGAAATCGAGGTATGGCATCCAAACGAACTGCGTAAAGAAGCAAATAAAACAGTCAATAACACAACTACGATTCAGATAATAGAATGGAAATAATAGAATAGATGGACTATACCTCTCTCTTCTGTAGCCTGTCTAACTGGTCCCTGTACGGTCGAATGGTATGAGACGGTGACACTGTCCAACGATGATAACAAACCCACCTATGAAGAAACACATAAAAAATTAAGTACTAAATTAATTGAATAATTGTAAAAAACAATTCATACGTAAAATTACCTCGCCCCATAAGGTGCATCTCTCTCATACTTGGGTGGAAGTACGCCCTGCGGTCTACACATCGGGATGCGCTCCCATGCCCAAATCTGTAATAGAATGAGAGGCCCCCGATTTGTGTCGTATCTGATAGCGCTGCATGACACAAATTACTGTAAAGGCAAGCCAATGCCGCGGAGCCTATAGCGCGACTTCGGACTTCTTGCGCCGTGCCAACGAGCAACTCCAAAAGGCACAAGTTCACGTTGTTACCCGTCGTGCTAGCAAACAGAGCACCACCCATAATCTTCAACATCAATGCCCGAACATGCTGCCGAAAGTCGACCTCCAGGCTATGATCACCAATAGGAATGAGTACGATCGCATTCATTTTGATTTGTGTCTTGGTCACGTCCTCTAAAGATGGCCTAAACCCCAACATATCTTAACACAATTGGGCCTAATACTCTTTGGGGTTGCCACGCGAACCAACAACCGGGGTGCCATCTACGGGAAGACCAAGTAGGACCTCTACATCCTGTAATGTGATCTCAACCTCTCCAAACGGAAGATGAAAGGCGTGCGTCTCCGGCCTCCACCTCTCCACTAAGGCGGTAATCAAAGCCATATTGAAGTTCTATGGAATTGATTTGGATGGGATTGAATTCTCCAATTCCAAATTAGTTTTGGCACTAGAAATTTCAAATCTACATATTTTGGTGCAATGAAATAGCAGAATTGTTATTTACAATTCCAATTTTCTAGTTTAAATTTCACATACCAAACAGAACCTTAAATCTTTTTTTAAGGAAAATAAAATATTACTAATGTTTAAATCAACATCTTTACAAAGTTAGGTAGAGAGAGCTCCCACACTGCTGGTTGACTCAGAGCCACCATGTTCAAAGAGATCTAGGAACAAAACTAATGGAAACAAAATCAAACGTTACACAAAAGAGCGACACTCATCAATAAAGGACCCATGGTATGAAGGATATTCATACTTATCCGTATACCAGATCCGCCCACCTAGGTGGGTTGGGATGCCCACCAGCCTTTTGGCCCAAAACACTCCATCAAGAAAAAAACAATCGTGCTATGGGTACACCACTTTGTACCCCAGTGGTGTACCCCATATACCCCACCCCTTGCGCACCACTCACTCCCACCCAACTCTCCTCTTGTCTGGTCTCTCTCTATTCTCTCCTCTCTCGTGTGTCCTCACCCACCCTGTCTTTCCCCCTTTTTTCTTTCATTTATCGCGGAACAATAATCTGAATTTATAGCGACCAGCAGCCGGCGATCCATCTCTCTGTGACGTCGTGTAAGCTTGATCGGAAAAGGATACATGAAGAGTAATGAACCAAGTTGCGTTAATTGAAGAGCAATTACCCAAGGCGGATGCATTCCCAATTAATATTACAAATTCGAAGTTTATCTCCAAGAGAATGTAAGAAGTTTGATGTCATCGCCTATCGCAGGTTAGTAATAATTTCTTATTGCACTAGCATTAAATGTTTGTGTTATTTTACAATTTAGCTATAAACATGTATAAAGTGTTGGTTCATTGAAAAGACTTTAATTAATAGAATTTTTCATAGATTTTTAAAGTATATGACCATTAAAGTGTTGGTTCGTTGGCTGCCAATTATTTCAGAAACATTGTCCCGCATAAAAAAAGACATGATTATTATTTATTTGAAAACTATTGTTGGGAATTTATTCTCTGTTTTTAGTTTTGTTTCGCACCAGCAATTTATGTCTGTGCAAAGAGGTAGGATGTAGGTTTCACCTACAAATAATGTCAGCTTCAGCATTTATTCTATGTTTTTAGTTTTGTTTTGCACCAGCAATTTTAGTCTGTGCAAAGAAGTAGGATGTAGGTTTCACCTACAAATAATGCCAGTATGATTAAAATTGTATTTTTTATATGCAGGCATTTTAGAAGGCAATGACAACTTGGATGTTGGAAGTTCTCTCATGAAGATTCAAGATGATCGCGACACAACAAAAAGAAGTGAACAACGTAAGGTGAACTAGAGCAATCAAAGAAACCTCAAAAAGCCATCGATAATCCTTCGTACAAACGTTAGTGACATAGGAAGTGAAAAATGCCTACGTGGGAATGGCCGGAAAAAGATGGTTTGTATGACCTTAGTTACCCAAATCTTGATCTCAGACTATGGTTGTGTATACGGTCTACTGGTCTTATCATATAACTTGACCATTAACTGGAGTAATGCTACATTTCTTGTTTAGTTTATATTATGCATTTGCTCACACACTTTTTTGTAAGTAATACTCTGTAATATTTTGTCTTCACCACTCATAATTGATGTAAATATATATACTTATTTCATGGTTCTGTTCAATAAACCAACACTTCATATCTGTGTGTTACTGATTTTGTTCAATACACCAACGCTTATTGTCAAGATGTTACTGGTTTTGTTCAATAAACCAACACTTTTTGTCTGTACAACTGATTTTGTTGAATACACCAACACTTTGTATCTGTGTGTTACTGTGTATGTTCAATACACCAACACGTAACGTCTGTGTGTTATTGTTTCTGTTAAAAATACCAAAACTTAATTTTAGGGTGCTAATGGTTGTGTTCAATAAACCAACACTTAATATGTTTTTTGTACTGATTTTGTTAGATATACCAACACTTTTTAATTGTATATTACTGATTCTGTTCAATACACCGACACATAATGTATATGTGTTGTTCTTTCTGTTCAATACACCAAAACATAGTGACTGTGATACTGGTAATATTCAAAGCTTTGTCACATAATAAAATTACACTAAAGCTTTACAGGGTAGTAAGTAATTGAAATGAAATGTGGTATGACCAAATTTTGGGGGAGAATCTGAAGCACTATTTTGTACAAACATCAAGAAATGAAGCGACATATTTTAAGTTCACGGGGAAAACAGTCATAGTTATATTCACTTTAGTCAAAACTCGTAATCATCGCTTCTAAATGTTGGAAGAAGAAGCACAACCATAATAGAAGTTATTCTGCAAATATTTTTTTCATTCATTAAGGATAATTGCATATTCATAATAGCAACAAGGTCATGGACATTTGTTGAATATCCCAAATATAACATGAACTGTGAAACCATAACATTGGCACATAGTGTTTGTGCAACAATACACAGTCATTTGTGTCTCTATGGATTGAGAAGCTTGATCTATATCCAAGAACAAAAGCATAGCAGAGACTTTCACTTTCGAAAAAAATCAACCCAAAATGTAAAAGAAGCTTGCTCCATCACCCATTTGGCATTCATGTCATGCGCTTCACCATCATCTTAACACTTCTTCTAGCACGCAAACCTTCAACCCTGTCAAATATGGTTGTCCAGAACAAATAGAAGTGTCATTTTATAGCCAAATAATTATTTAAAAAATGTCTACCATGCCACTCTAATTATTTTGGCACCTGTTAATTTTTTTATTTACTATATGCACCAATAAATACATGTCTCCATGAACAAATATTTAGCCTATTTTTCAATGAAGAAGTTTTGCAGTTTGATGATATTACAGGTTCTGTATAATTTAAGGAGAACACAAATGAAAATTTGTAAACATCACATTGAGTGCAAAGAAATCAAAGGTCAATAAATATATTAACAAGACCACATACTCAAATGGGTAGAAACTGGACCATTACTCAGGCATTTTGGTAGAAACTGTAGGTGTTAAGGTGCTGTACAGCTTTGCCCAGGCATTCACTAAACTGATTATACTTCAAGGTATATTTTGAAAAAAATATTTGCCATCAGCCATTTTGGGTACTAATTGAAAGACATGAATGTATAAACAACATCACATTGAGTGCAAAGAAATCATAGGTCAATGAATATATTAACATGGCCACATACTCAATTGGGTAGAAAATGGGCCATTACTCAGGCATTTGGGCAGAAAATGTAGGTGTGAAGCTGCTGTACAGCTTTGCCCATGCATCCACTCAAATGATTATTTAAGAGAATATTACAGTAAATTGTAAATTATATTTAAGAGAAAATATTTTCCGAGGCATCCACTCAAGATATATTTTGAAAAAAAATTACAATAAACTTAAGAGAAATTAAAAAATTGCAGTAATTTTAAGAGAAAATCGCACCAAACTTAAGAGAATATTACAGTAGCTTTGCATTTAGGGTTTCTAAACAATTTTTGGGAAAAGAGATGCAATTGCAAAAGGAGGAGTAATTACCTTGTTGACGGAGCACCGGAGGCAGAGAGAAGGCGTGTGAAGAAGCGAGGAGGACACTGACCAGGGGCAGAGAGCACCGGCAGGGATGGATTGCTGTGAATGACAATCGGAAGACGAGGAGGACACGGACCAAGGGGCAGAAGCGAGGAGGATACAGACCACGATGGCAGAGACTAATAAGGTAGGTGTGAGGAAGACAGCGACCACCGGTGACAAAGACGGCAAGGAAATTCTAACCAGAAAAAAAACACCGGAGACAGACGAAGTTGATCGAGAAGCAGAGTGAATTTGGTGGGGGATTACTTCCACTGTGGGGTGGGAGGGTTGCTTGCATGT